CCAGTATTCCTAATAATGGTAACAAAGTAGCTGCTATTTTGTGTCAATTCTATGCTAATGATACGTTGTGAAGTAAACACTGCAGGACCATAAGTAGATGTATAATAAAATAATTTATATTTTACCGTAATTTAAATTTTGTTTGTTTGTTTTGGAACTTCGCGCAAACCTACACGAGGGCTATCTGCGCTAGCCGTCCCTAATTTAGCAGTGTAAGACTAGAGGGAAGGCAGCTAGTCATCACCACCCACCGCTAACTCTTGGGCTTCTCTTTTACCAACGAATAGTGGGATTGACCGTCACATTATAACGCCCCCACGGCTGAAAGGGCGAGCATGTTTGGTGGGACGGGGATTCGAACCCGCGACCATCAGATTGCGAGTCGAGTGCCCTAACCACCTGGCCACGCCGGGCCCGTAATTTAAATACCAACTCTAACCTGATTGGTTTAAATGCAATACTTATGTGCTACTGTAATATGTTTAATATTTTACACCTTTAACTCATTCTTGTATATTTGTAGGCTTTAAACCTAGACGTCTACTAATGACTGTTTCAAACTAGTATAATAACAATAATAATGAAACACCTTTTTAGTTGTTTCTGTTTTCATTGAGCTGCTTGGTCTTAGGGAACGACCACGAGCGGGATTCTTTCAAGGCTGTTTGACCATGATTCACAATCTCGAGCCTTTAGCTAGTTCTTAATTGGTGTAACCACGAAGAACGATTTTCACGAAAAGCTACACAAGGGCTGTCTCAAATTTTGAATTAATAAACTACAGAAAAGGCAGCCAGGCAACGGTACCCATTGTCAGCTTTGGGCTACTATTGTTTGACAAAATAGTAGAATTTGATCTTCAAATGATCGTGGTAACGGGACGAGAACTATAAATCTTTGGATTCACAGTACAAGCACGGTAACCACTAGGTCACGTCCAGCACACAAAATGATAAAGCTTTTTTTTAATTATCTGCTCTGTGTGTGTGTGTGTGTGTGTGTATATTCAATTGGAGTTTTGTTTTCGTCTTCTTCCAGTTCGGTTTCAGTTCTGGACCACTGCAAGTCATTCGTCTTGGTACACCGTGCAGTAAAGATAAATATATCGTATGTGACTTTGGTGGTCAGTCAAGTGATACCTCATCCGAATGTCATATAAAGCACTATTTTATATTTGTAATATAATTCTGATTGATTGATTGGCGTTCATTTCATTTACTGTAAAGTGACTTAATTTCTAAACGTACACATGCAATTCACAATTTTTAACATTCGTTGATTTTTCAATACCTTAGCTCAGATCCTAGCAAATCTCTCTTCAATGCAGAGATAACCTACGTGCAGGAATTCTCTAAACAGGAGCGTTACATAATAGAAACAAACACGGACTGATTATGAAGAAAACAGAGCCGTTATTACAAGAAACACACATAACCTTATCTCGTCAAATAATTAATCCTTTGTTGCAGGAAAACCATTAAAGGTCTGGATTTTGATAAAGCAGCAAAAACCGGAGTATTGGGGAAAACTTTTATAAGATATTGCTGAAAGAAACTGCTCACACTTCCAAAAAAATGAGTTTGAACAGTTCTATTAACCTTCTAATGGTATATTTCTGACACAGCGGAACAAAGGATATCGTGATAGCAACGATAAATCATCTGTGACGATTGTACACGTAAATTGTATGAGTGCCTAATTAAGCGAGATAAAAATCTATTAAAATAGAGTTCACGAGAATGATAAAGAACAAACGGTGAAATTAAGTCAACTACTGTACATGAAGGGGTTTAATTAAGTTTTATCCCTTTACCTGGAAAGCACCTTCACTAAAGAAAAACACCTTGGAAAATGAGCGAACACGTGTTTCAGCTCTTGGTTAATGAAGATAATTTTCTTCGAATTACAAATTGCCTCAAGCATTAAAATGTTAGCGCCATGATTTTTTCTATTACGTTCATAATGCTTTATTTTGGAATACATTTAGTATCATCAATCACTTATTTTGAACATGCTTTCTAGAAAATTACAGCTTGTTAAGTGAACTTTATATATATATATATATATACACACACATCGCACATGTACATACATAATCAAGTTTTATACATGTTATATCTTAAAATTTAATGAAAATCACACAGATTTTTCTTTCAGGCGGGAGTAAAAAAGTTCAAAAGGTTATATAAGTCGATGGCGATTACGAGGCTAAAAATATATTTTTCTGCTCATTTTTAACCACCTTCAGAACATTACAGTACTTTTCTTTTAAAAGTTTCGTTTTACGTTTACTTGCTGATTATAAGTATTACTTCTTTACAAGTTACGGTTTTTACAGTAAGAAGGAATATTTTTAGAACAGATAAAACGCTTCGATCGCTCGTGCGATGAATCTCAAGTACACTCGTTTTAACGGTAAAAAACGTTTTATTATTTAAATCAACATTCAATAATCTAACAATATATTTAAATTTTAGAATACTGATAGTGGTTAATTATGCATGTGCAAATGAATCCGCGTGAATTGAAACATTATTTATTTATAGCTGAACAGTGAATAAATAGGAAAATGTTGTACGAAATATTTACAGAAGATTGGGAACGTCTGAGGAAATAACGATCAAAGTGTTATAGAGATGTGCCTAGGTATTTGTTAATTGTGGGATTGTTTGATTTTATTAATAAGGCTTCTCTGATTTTTCTTCTGTTAATGTCAGGTTCACGTTTTAGTTCTGTGACATCCTGTTCAGAAAAACTATGGTTGTTTTCGTTCATAAGTTTATGGACTTGGGAAAGGGGCTTTTGGTGTTCTTTTAACCTGATGTTAAAGTTACGTCTTATTTCACCAATGTTTTTGTTTGTTTGTAGTTAAGGACAAAACTGCACAACGAGCTATCTGTGCTGAGCCCACCTTGGTATCGAAACCCGATTTTTAGCGTTATAAACCTTCAGAGTTACCGCTGTGCCACTGAGGGGGAGGGATATTTAAACAACGTAGATATTGTATGATTAATGAATGTTTAATGGACTGCTTGTACCTTGTTTCTTGAGTGGGACAATGAAACAGTTTATTAACGAAATCAAAACCTTCATAACGGGAACTTTACTATAGAAGTTGACCTTGCTGTTATAACTTCAAAACACATACAAAACAAAAACGTTAAATTAAAATATAGTTGATAAGAATTATCGCAAGTATATTAGAGTTATGTGATTTTTCGATATTAATCTTTAATGGAAAACAAATGAGAAAACGATCATACGTCCTTTCTGTCGTGTAGGGCCTGGCATGGCCAGGTGGTTGTTGTTTGTTTGTTATTAAGCACAAAGCTACACAAAGGGCTACCTATGTTCTGGCCATCACGGGTATCATAACCCAGTTTGATCGCTGTAAGTCCGCAGACATCCCGCTGTGCCACTGGGGGAAGGGGCAGGCTAGGTGGTTAGGGTACTCAATTCGCAATATGCGGGTCACAGGTTCGAATCCTATCATCGAACATGCTCGCCCTTTCAGCCGTTGACTGTCACATTATAATATGACAGTCAATCCAATTTTTCGTTGATAAAATAGTAACCCAAAAGTTGGCGGTGGGTGGTGTTGACTAGCTGCTTTCTCTCTACTCTATCACTTCTAAATTAGGGACGGGTAGCGCAGATAACCCTGGAGTAGCTTTGCGCGAAATTCAATAAAAAACAAGATTTCTTCTATGTCACAACAATTTGTTACAGAAATGATTGGAACATGCATTGTTTAAAGCTGAATAGCTCAATTGGTAGGAAAATATATATATACACAGAATAACAAGTTATAAGGTTGAGTCCTTCCGCTTTTAATATTTACGTCTTCAGAAATAAAATTAAGAATTTACGAAAGGCGATGTGGCTTCTTTTTTTTTTAATCATAATAAGAAATTTTAATTTGCTATCACATAAAAGTTTTGATTAATAAAGAATACATTCGTAGAAATAAGCATAAAAAGTAATAACTAGCTAAACCGAATTTTCTTCGAATTAGAGAAAATTTTTCAAAATTTGACTTTGATAACAATTATAAGGGAATAGTCTTTTAGCAATATTTCATGCCATGGTTTGTACTTGGAATTTTTTCGTAGAATATTATTTTAACATATAAATTTCACGTTTTCTTGTAGTCAAATACACGAACTGAATGTTGAATATGTAACTTGCATTTCTTAATTACCACTTCCTCTTCATGCGTAAAATCAGTAAACACGGGCTTTTACTGTCTCAGTTAAAATATTGTTTAAATCAAAGAATGCAGGAAGTTAAATATGCTAATATATCTATCCAATATATGCGATCCAGTTTGCAAAATGGCCTTGTTTCTTTATTGTTGAGCATAAAGCTGCACGGTGGGTTATCCGTGTTGTGCCCACCTAAAGTTTTGTTTTAAGCGCAAGGATAATCAATGGTATCTATCTGGCTCATGCTCAATATAGGGATCGAATTCCCGCGTTATGAGCCCTTAAGTTTACCGATACAGTTTCACCTTTTAATGATAATACAGATTTTATAGCCTAGTTGAATATAGAAGACAGTCTACTCTTCAATATCTTGTAGTGAAATAAGATATTATAAAATGGAAGAGAGATAGAGAGAGTTTCCTTGGACACATAAGATGTCGAATCCGCATCCCACCAAACATGCTCGCCCTTTCAGCCGTGGGGGCGTTATAATGTGACGGTCAATCCCACTATTCGTTAGTAAAAGAGTAGCCCAAGAGTTGGCGGTGGGTGGTGATGACTAGCTGCCTTCCCTCTAGTCTTACACTGCTAAATTAGGGACGGCTAGCGCAGATAGCCCTCGTGTAGCTTTGCGCGAAATTCCAAAAAACAAACAAACAAACAAATACATAAGATGTACAAACTGGAGTTTCTTTAATCCTAGAATATTTTTTTTTATCGCAATGTAAACATTTTAAGGAAAACAAAAACAATGCGAATGTCAGACACATTTGGCAACAGCTGATATTATTTTACCTTTTTTGGAAGTTTTACAATCCACGTTGGAGGCACAATTATATCCGCGTGCATTCCGAGAGTACAGTGTTCTTGTAATTTTTGGAAAGTGAAGCAGGAGTCTTTGTTGTGGTAGGCCAACTTGCACCAAGAGCAGCTAATGGCCACAATTTCCTGGAAGATCCATTAACCACACATCACATATAAGTTTCAACTATATGGTTCTCCAAATTATAAGATAGAAAACCGATATAAGATTACTCTGTTTTAAATTATTACTTTACATAAAACTATTACAATATTTATTTTTTTCAATTATTTCTGCATTATCTTCTAACTGAACGAGAGACTTACATACGCACGTGAAGATCTATAGTACTTCTTTCTATACAATAATCTGCCTTTAAAATGGTTACTGAAATAAAAACTAATTGGAAAACCGCTGCTTTTTTTTATACAGAACACCAAATGATTGTACCAGAAATGAAATACAATGAAACAGGTGTAACTGTGGCTATGACTGAAACATGCGTGAAGGTTGGTATTAGAATCTCGTTCTCAGGTTTATAAAAATGATTTGTTTGTTTGTAATTATGCACAAAGCTACACAACGAGCTACCTTTACTCTGCCCACCACGAGTATCGAAACGCGGTTTCTAGCGTTGTAAGTCCGCAGACATACCGCTGTGCCACTGTGGGTGGGAGGGGGGCGTATAAAAATGTCCATGGAAATTTTTCGTCTGGTAAAGTTCGAAAAAAACTCACATTTGAATTTATTAAACACAGTACATCTGTTTAGACAAAAAATACTTGAGGTAAAAAAAAAGTATTTTGTTTCATTGTTACTAGATTTATGAAGTACCATTGTATAAAAAGGTGATCAAATATATCTTTATCTATTACGAAGGATGTATAAAGGTCGAAAAATATATACAGAATTACATTTAAATACAATATCATCTCAGTCACTACAAATTATTTAATTAAAACTTTTTACTATATAAAAATAAACCAATTCTTACCTTGCTCCCAAAAGATAACTTCGACTGAAATGACTGTAACGAAAAAATAAGAGATAGAAACAATCAAAATTTGCTTGTAATTTCGTGATTAAAAATGGTAGAAACTAAGCGAAAATATACTATATTACAAGAAAAGAAATAATCTAATTGTTTTTTTTGTATCTCTTAGAAATAACTACGTATATTTGCGTGTGGAAAACTTCCTCACATTTAGTCTTTGCACACAACTAGACTAACGACAAGAATCTTATCACATATTTCAAATCTTACAGTGTATTTTGAATAAAAAACAAACTACAGTAAAAAGTAAAAGAGGGTAGTTTGAAATCAGTGCCAAAGCTTGTCTGAATTCAGTGAATCCAGCAATTTTAATCTGCATTATTATACAAAAGTAACTTTTCTTTTTTATCAGTTACTTTTACTTGAACAACTGACTAGATTTAAGTCAGCGTTATTGATCAAGTTAAGGTTTGATAAACTTGATCTGTCAGTATTAGCGTTACCTATGTTTTAACCATTTGAGGGGGGGATAATATCCGTTACATAGGTGAGCATCAAATACTGGAGAAGGTGGGGCGGATCGTTGAGTACGTTCTTGATTGTTTAATTACTTCCCTGGGCTTACGACCGCGGCTTTAGATGAATTTTAAATAAATCCTCCTTCTTGCTTGTTAGTATGTGTTTCTACTTAGATATAAATAAAGTGTGAATCCAGTAGAAGGCGCTTATTTGGATAATATTTCGGTTGTTTGTTGAAATTCGTGCAAAGCTAATTGAGGTCTACATGCAATAACCATCCTATTTTTATTTTATGTAGGTTGTTATATGTAAATTGATATATATATGTGTGTGTGTTTGTGTGCGTGTAATAATTAACAATAGCAATAAAAGTAGGTCAAGCAATGTTTTGAAATTAGACTAATTAAATTCACCAGGAAAACCAATATTTCCGCAAGAAAAAAAAACGTTTATTAAACTTAGCTAAGACCTTTGAGGTACATTTGATTAGAAATAGAATTTTCAATCCGAAAGGAACCTTATAAACACACGGGAAAGAAAGTTTAAACCAAGATACCCCTAGGCGTAGACAGCAACCAGTAGCATCCGTCGCCACAAGGGCTTTCTTCTGATCTTTTTATATCTGGTTTAGATATTTGATATACATTCTTCCTAATAGACAGCCCAAAATCAAAACATTAGTTAACATGCTATTTGGTGAAACACCGAAAAACGGGACACTTTGAAATATCACGAGCGTTAGAAATCCGTAAATAAACTATATATTTTTTCCTCTTCAAAACGTTTTGCCCAGAAACAAAAAATCGAGTGTGTTCTTCAGTATTCAGACTTTATTAGAGAGCAGTTGGGAATTTACTTTCAGAGTCTGTTTAAAAACAACTTATATACAATTTATATCTATTCATGACGTCAGTTACTGGGTGTATAAAGTTACAACCTGTTCACAAGTTACTTATTAGATGTGTCACAATGTTACATTATAACCACGAGGTTAGTTATTAGGTGTACCATAAAGTCACAATCTGCTCGCTAAGAAACTTATCCTGCGTAAACATTAATATCACAATGTATCCATTAAGTTATTATGTGTAATATAATGTTAAAGTGTGTGTATCCAATATTTAAATCAATCCAAGAAAAATCTTGAAAGTTATCATTGAAATGTGACTATTTTGTCACTATTTATCTTTACGTGATTTATACAGTATTATAATTCCTACAGTGTGTCCACTTATTGGACTATCAAGTCTTTAGTGGTATGTTTCTTCTAGATTCATGCTAGTTACTCAACAAAACTACTTATATACAACACAAATAAACATGGTGATTCTAAATAAATATTTTAAAATTAAAGTTTTACTTTAAATTGATTGCAATATTAGCTATAAGAAGATAAAACTATTGTTATAAGATAATTCAGTCAACTCCTCGGCCATCTAATGATCCGTTCTGTGGCATATGGTGTAAATGGTTGGTCATTTAGCTTGTACATGAGCATTCGGTTAAGGAATTTTTACATTTTCACAGTTCAGGACATCTCTCTTCAATATGGAGTACCGTCACCACAGACAGCAAGGGCAGCCTAGCATCGACTTTTCAAGGGAGTAAGAGTGATGATAAGGTTCTGAGACATCCTTCACCACTTACCTGAAAAGAGGTTTCCTAGTCACCTTATAACCTGGAGTCATTTCACAGAATGCGATGTATCTCCCAGGCACTACTGCCTAGGCACCTTAGAACCCGACTCTCTTCAAAGAATGCGATGAATCAACCAGGAGCTACTTCCTAGGCACTTTATAACCTGGACTCACTTCACAGAATGCGATGTATCTCCCAGGCACTACTGCCTAGGCACCTTAGAACCCGGACTCTCTTCAAAGAATGCGATGAATCAACCAGGAGCTACTTCCTAGGCACTTTAGAACCCGGACTCACTTCACAGAATGCGATGTATTTCCCAGGAGCTACTTCCTAGGCACTTTAGAACCTGGAGTAACTTCACGGAATGTGACACATCTTCCGGGAGCTGTTTCTCAGGCACCGAAGAACCTGAAGTAACTTCACGCAATGCGACACATCTTTCAGGAGCTGTTTCTTGGGCACTGCAGAACCTGGGATCACTTCACGGAATGCAATGCATCACCCAAGAACTGGTTCCTGGGCACCTTTAGAGTCTGGAGTCATTAAACTGGATGCGACTCGCCTCCCAAGTACATTCCATACACGATTGATGGGATTATAGTCCCCAAAACGCGTAGGCCATTGAATTTGGTCAACCCCTGTTCCTCAAGGAATGTGTCAACCACTTTAGTGGGCATTGCCATCCATTAGACTGATGCAGAGCCAATCGCAACAGCTTATTATAGGAGAAGGTGTAATTGGATGTATTACATATAATGTGTAGAATTAATTATATTATTCAAAATAATGCAGAGGTCTGTATGTCCACTAACAGTTAGTGAAAATAACACTGCAAATGGAACTGTCAGAAGTCTTGATACTGGAAAACTAGTTTCGACATATTCGTATGTCGTCTTAAGTTTCAAGAATACGACATAAAATTGAAGAGGACATACGATGGTGTAGAAAATAGTTTCTCCAGTAGTTTCATAGAGTAGTTCTCATAGAGAAAATATAAATTCCTAATTTTTCTGCAAGTCAGTACGTTAACATTTTCTCTTGTCCTGCTGATGTTATAACAAGAAACAATGTTCATGGAAACTGGATGACCTTTACTTTTTTCTTTTACCATTTTTGATGGAACCTGGGAAAAACGAGTCTCGTGAACTTGAGCATGAAAATGACCAACCTTTTCCTGTTATCAATGTAATTCAGTTTACAAAAAAAAAATCATCTAACGCATAATAACAAAAAAAACTTTTATTACCTTGCCACACTGTTGACATCTGCCTTTCTGCTGACGACGATGGACCCAATGATGAAAAATTACAGTTTGCTGTGGTAGGAAAAAACAAAACAAAAAACAATTCTTTCACTTTTTCCTTAATAGCACAAATACAAAGATAGCATTGCGAACCTATTCTCATGTGGCTAATTAGGCCCAACATTTAAGGTACTGCACTATCTTACCAACACTCCAAAAATAGTAAAAAACTCTCGTACAGAATTCCTTTAGGACCTAGAATCTTGGTGAAACGAGCCAAGAAAATATCTGGATTGCTTGTTTAAAGTCTTATAGGGCACGATTAACTTCATCTTTATGGCCTGATAAGTTTAATTCAATAGCTTTTTTATTGCTTATTATTCTAACAAATAAAGGAAAAACATTTTTCTAGTATCTGTAACCAGGTAATTAATGAGTTATAGTTTTTGTTTTACAATTTTTTACAACATTTCTTATTGATGGTGGAATTAAATGGATTTTTTTTTCGCACTTGCTTCACTAATCCGTCATATAGATCAATATTAATTGCAGCATCAACCTGGAATCACATGTAAATGATGTAAACAACCTTACAGGTTTATCTATTTATATATCCACCAATTCTTATATTTAATCAGCTATAAAAGAAGCATTCATAAATGTAATTAAAAAGTATATGGCATTTTTTTAACACAAATATAATATCGAAAATAATAACTAATAATTCAAAACAGGATAAAAAATACTTACCTTCCATTTAGCATGCGGAGTAAATACTAAAATACTAGACATCATTTAACCCAAAAAACTTCTTTTATACAAAAATTCAAATTTGTAAAACATCATTATTGAAATTAGAACAAACGTATGTTTTATCTCTCTTAATGTTGGTATTGGAATTTTAAGCACATGTAAACGGCCTGGTCAGAGACCTCTTGTGTCCAAGCACAGCCGTCCCTAATTTTGAGCTATTGACCAGAGAGATGGCAAACAGCCATTGAATATTCCAATTAACATTACGAGTTAGACGTTGTATAGTAGTTAGCCTGTCAGGCTGCGAATCGAAATATCCCTTATTCGAGACGCGACGCCATTAAACACGCTCCGCAGATTCATTTGTGACAAGTGTTATTTGACTTAACCAGCCTGAATTCTTGTGGTGGCGGGTACTTCGAAGTTTGTCTTTGTTTTGATATGAAGAAAGACTAGTTCCAAATATATAAATAATCTATATGAATAATACGCTTGCGTTGGTCTGTCCGGAACTTTACTTTATATTGGCTTTTCAATTCAGAATCACCTCACCTGTTTTTTGTTTTGCCAACTTTTCAATGCAACGAGTGTTGTACATGATGGTACAATGTCGTAGTCATCACGTGACGACTGGCATCAATTACAACTAAGTTTTTTTATTTGCAAAGCATTTCTCACAAACAACAGTTAACCCGCGTGTTATTTCCTAAAAAGGTTAACATTACACTAAATACGATTTCTATGGGCTTTCTCGATTTAATTACGTCTAACATACCCATGCGCATATCGTTCAAAACCACATACTTGTGACTTCGTGAACACGCATTCAGATGTTTCTGCATACTTAGCTAAGTTTGCCTTCATTACAACTTTACATTTACTTCACTTTGCAATACTTTAGTTTTGTTCATTTCATACACTACTATAAACACCTTTTAGCTAATTTTTCTTTAGTATGGGTTTTATTCTTCGTTTTTGTGAGTTTCTTTGTTTCAACTCGTAAAACCAAAAACCATGTCATACACTGAATGCTCACAACTGTTTCATAATCTGTACACTATTATGAATACCATTACTTTAATGTTTACTTTATGTGTAGTTTTATTAAATAAAATTACGTCTACGTGGGCTTATTTACCTGACCGTGTAAAATATTTTCAAGTAGACCAGGATTTATCAATCTAACATACAATGACTTCAAGAAAGCGTAGCTTAAATGGCGTGTGTGAAAGTGATAGAATAAGGAAATTTCAAGCGAATGGAATGAAAACTAACGCAAATGTTTTGCGGATCGCGGCTAGTTTATTATATACGACGTTTCGAGTATGCTTTAACTGGGATGTACAGTCTACACACAAACTCTCAATAACAGCTAACAAGGCTATGGAGCAGATAAGTTTCAAAATAAGAATTATAATATTGGAATTAGTTGTTTCTTTATATATTCTTCAAGAAAGAATTGGTAAAACGTAAAGAGAAAGCACTAAAAATATTTCGACCTGTAATAGTTAATTGGTCAAATAAGAGTTCTTTTCATTTTACAGGAAGTAATAATCACCAAGACCCTCAAGGGAACATTTTGATAATATTGCAGTTAAAGCTGGTGTTTATGTTTGACAGAAGACATATAATCATTCTTTCTGATATTATTTTCCTCTAGCCATTGGCTTTTTGTTTGCGAAATTGACATTTCAAGTAACTGTTAAAGCTTGTTTTATGGCTGCACGAAAACATTTTCACAATGTGTTAATGATCTGGAACTTGAAGTAATTGCCGAAGCTTGTTTTATAACTGCAAACAGAAGTTTTCACAATGTGTTAATGGCCTAGTGAACAAAGTAAGAAGCCAGATATTTCAAATTAAGCGTTATAGCTTTATACACGTCAACGACATACAAAGAAATCGGTGTCCACTCAGAAACAAGAAGTCAATAATCAGAGAGCTTATTAACATACTATATTGTACGTGCGAATATTTCATTCCAATAATGTCTTTGCAACATCAAAAGAACTGGTTAGTTTTGTTTTGAATATTTGGAAAAGTTGTACCAGAGATATCCGAGTTAGACGTTCCTAACTTTGAACTGAGAAACTAGACTTAAGGGGGAAGAAAGCTAGTCAACAACACCCACTGCCAACTCTTCGGCTACTGTAAGTGTGGAACCCTCCCCCCTTTCTTTGTGGCAAAGATGCGAACCACAGTACAGCATTATAACGACTGGGTTACGCCACGCAGCTTTGAATAAAAACAAAAAGAATTATTTCGAAATTTGTTTGCTTTTAAGCACAAAATTACATAATGGGCTATCTGTAACCTACCCGCCTCATGTATAGAAACTTGATTTTTAGCGTTAAAATTTTTTCTAACTGCATAAGAAATAAATACGCAAACTACAAATGATTGTAAGCTAGGTTAGGCTTCCTGTCAAAAAGTCCTTTACACTAATTTTGAACAAAAAATATGGCAGACATTATGACATGAGGAGCTGTAAGAACACAGTCTGGCATATTGAATAACAAAGAGTTTTTATTTATCCCTTTAAAAAAGTTGTTATTGTGAAGAATTGACATTTTATATTAAAATAACATACTTCTCTTGTACAAATAGTCAGGAAAACAAATTACATGTAGCTAGTTTACAGTGGTTGTCAAAACGATTTAGTATAGTAGCCCAGCTCAGGTTATGGGTGAAATGCCCCAACGTCTGCAAGAACATTTTCAGTGATACCATGGTTTAAGTGCAATACTGGGGGTAAACACTAGGGAGGAGGTAGATAGATGTTAAGAATTGTGCAGTTTTTTGCAGAAAGCTTAAGTTGTTACTCAACATGGAAAATAGCGAACTTAAGTTGCTTTTTTGTACTAGAAACTCATGTAGACTATTAAACGGATTTTTAAACACATTATAAATACATAGAATATTGAATAAAGCATTAAGAAAGCATAGAGTGGGACAAAAGGCTAAATCCCAATTACGAGAAAACAAATGATACTGAAAATATAAATTTCATCATAGGGTTCCAATAAATATTGCCCGTATGTTAGAAACAATGCATGATACTTAGTATACTGAAACCAGGTTTCAAAAAGCTGTTATGAAAACTCATATGTGGTTTTCTTCATCTGTTCGTTTGCATATACTAATTAACAGAATTATTAATTAGTGAATGATGGTCATCCTGTATCTTAGTTTACAATACTGGAGTATCACTATTTTGCTTTGACAGTATATGTATTTCTGTTATTATCCCATGCTTCTGAGAATGACATTGATATAGCGGGATCTGGGGGGCATGCCCCCCAGAAAAGTTTTGTAAATTTAATGCTTGAATATTGAGCCATTTTAATTCCAAATACTGCATACACACAACGTAATGTATTAAATTAAAAGAATTAAGATTTAATACATATGTTGTAGCTATACATGTCATGAAAAGGTGGTCAGGCCATGACCCGATTGGCCTTACCACAACGGCCCTGATTATTAATACATCAGTTAAGCATAGGGCTAAGGAAAATAGTGTACGTTTGTAAACAGGCTTCATATGAAAAAATAGCTACTCTGTTAGTGATGCAATAAAAGCAGAGGATTAAGCTAGATAAGGAGGGAGTCACATGCAAGAAACAAGAAACCCTACAACTGCCACACCAGTTTCAAAACAACACAAGAAAATGGTATCTAATAAATAAAAAAGGCAAACATTGCCATATTTCTTATGAACGATTGGATAAATAAGTGCAAGGAAAATTATATTTGGCAAGACATGGAAACTGAATAAATACTCATTATATTTGTCCATGATTCAAAAAAGGTAATAGTAATTGCAAATGGTCATCATTAATAGGTAGAAGGACTGGAGGTAGACCATGAAGAAGCAGAGCCACACATGTTTCTTCACATCTACCATGCAAAAAATCCATCGATTATCAAAACAGGACTATTGCAGGACTATTGATCCTGATGTTACAGTAATGTGTACAAGGTATTTCTTCTCGAGTTTGATGGGTTATATCTCAAGACAGGCACTGGTCACAAGAAAACGTTCAATCCTATTCATGCACTTGCTACTGACATTCTGAAATGTGTAACTTACTCTGCTATGTCTCCATGCTTTTAGAGGGCGAGTCCATTTAGTGGCATTGTAAGCCAAAAGATGGATGAAAATGGTAGTTGCTCATCCAGAGTTGCAAGAAGGAATCACACATCTTGATCATAGTGACTTTCACGTGTTCAAAGAAGCAGAAACAGCTTGTGTGACATTGGTCTCTGGTGTGTAGTGGAACTCTCTTTGACTAAGTGCACTATGAGTATTCCTCAAAGAAGCTATTATCATGAATGTAGTATCTACAACATGCTAACTTTCATACCTATATTTGGAGCCATTCAACAGACTAAAACATAAATGAACCATTATCAATAGGAAATTGATGAATGCATGATGGGATACGAGGGGTGGTACTCATATATACAACTTTGTCTCAGGTTCTGATGCTGTTTTGAAGGCATTTGTAGAAAGTCAATGACAGCCTGGCTATAGCACAAAGCAATACAAACATTACAGAAAACACTGTTTGTTCTGATGGTTGTACATATGAACGGAAACATTCTTCAACAGGGTTCTTAAAGATGACTCAGAGTCAGAAGGAATCTGGTGGAAAGTAAAGTAGATGACACCCCTTAATATGAGGTTACCTAATTACATGCTCAACTAAAATTACAAACGTGTGTCTGGCTGTTTGCAATTTTCGTTGTACAATTATGTGGATTACAATTAGGGTATTTCAGTTAAAATCTAAAATGTTAACTGATTAATAAACACCCAAAAAAGATGTCAAAATATCAATGTAAAATAGCACCAAAAATGGTTGCTATATGTGCTGACTAATTCAAACACACCATTCTTCACCATCTTGCCATGAAATTAACATTTTTATGTGCATCTGTCTATAATTTACTATAATTTTTCCTATTTTAAATTCCAAATCATTAAGTATGATCACTGTTATTGTTCTTTCAAAACATTTTCATATTGTATTTGTATGGTTATTATTATGTCAAACAATAGATTACATATAGTTTTACACTTGCTATATTGGGGAGACATATCACCTGTTTGTAAGAGTACAGCAATAAAGGCTGAAAGGGCGAGCATGTTTGGTGGGACGGGGATTCGAACCCGCGACCCGCAGATTGCGAGGCGAGATCCCTAACCACCTGCCCATGCTGAAACCACCATGCTTCGCAGTTGGCTGCAATCTGTTGAGCCAAAACTCTTGGTGAGGCATTCTCCAGACCCATATCCTTCCACTGTCCGAACATTGAGCGAATCTTGATTCGTCTGAGAACAATACAGTCTTCCAAAAGTCCAAAGGTCATCATATCACTTGCCCACTTCTTTCGTCTGACTATGTTGGCAGATCTTAATAAGGGCTTCCGTCTAGCTGCTCTGCAACGATAACCCAATCTGTGGATAATCCGTTGAACAGATTTCGGGCTCATCCCACCAACTTTGGCCACTTCTGCAGTCGTTAATCTGGGATCCATTTCGATGCTCCTCTTGACAGCCCTTTTTGTCCTCTCCGATGAACCAGGACGACCCAACGCTGCTCAGTTGTTTCCTTGCCGTGTTTCCTAAACTGCACGATGATTCTGTTGACTGTCGAAAGCGGGATTTCCAAATTCTGCGAAATTTGCCGCTGACGTATTCCACCATCTGCTTGACCAATTATCCTTCCTCTAACAAAATCTGACAATTCGAGAGAACCTTGAGTTCTAGGCAATTTGTAGCACAAGATAAGTGTGCGGACCATTTTCATTTATATAGTGCTCTGTGAACACAAATTAGTTAGCATAAATCAGTTAAATGACGAAAAATTAGCTGTCTATTTACTTGTAACCACTCAGTGTGTATCTCCTAATAAAATCATCTCTGAAATCGGGTAATATTATCGCTCGGTTTTCTTGACAGTTCGTAAGTTGAAACAACATTGTATGTCAGGATCGGAGTTAGCAAAGAAGGTGGATTGCCCCTGAAATTTAGTTGCCCTCGCCCCAAGTTAATGCCTTCAGTTAATCTAATTTTAGATTTGGCCCGTTAAGAAAAGCTGAGCCGAGACTGTTATAAGCTATTTTTTAAAACAAGGACAAACAGTTGAAAATAAGCTGCTTACGATTATGAAGAAAGGTTTTTAAAACCACACTCTGCTTGGAAACAAAAACCGTGGATTTCCGGTAATGTTTCTTAACTATCATACTCGTAGGAATACAGGCCAGTTTTCAACGTTCAGCTGGTTCATTACTGGTGCAACTGAGAAGAATGACTGTTCGTTTGTTTATTACAGAATTTTTGCGCAAAGATTAAAAATAGGTTTCATATACTTTTTTGTTTGTCTTGTCAAAACATTAAGCCTGTCATAACAAGCTGGTGCCTTAGAGAGTTTATTCGCTAAGCATTGTTTATTTTATTGTTTTATTTGTAATTAAGCACAAAGCTACACAATGGGCTATCTATGCTCTGCCAACCACGGGTATCGAAACCCGGATTCAAGCATTGTAAGTCCGCAGACATACCGCTGTGCCACTGGGGGGCTCGCTATGCATTGAAAGAAAATCCCTTGAATATCTAATACCCAACAGCTAATAAGTCATCCGTTAGTAATGAGTGTTCTGCATCTCGATATTCTTAGTTGATAGGCAAAAACTAATACATTTTCTGAGATTACTCATCTTCATTAAATACTTTTCTTTGTGTTTCTTATAATCGTAGTTCTCGTAAGTAAATGACTGTATTTGTTTTATTAGTTTTCCTGAAGTTGGATAATTAACTCTAGTAACAGCAGTACGAACGTAGTAAACAAATAAATGTAGCAGATTTCACTTTTTTTGTAATGAATCTCAAAGAAACATTATCTTAATTTCTTCAATAATTTAAAGTTCTTCGTGGCGAAATTAGAACAACAATCTCGCAGAACGAATGAAGATATCTTGAATTCTACACGCTATAAAAATATCTATGTGGAAGTTTTTTTTTCGGGAAAACTAATTAAAATCTCTCATAGTCTGAAAATTATGCAAGTTATATATGATTAAAATTGCAACCAAGAACGAAAGATAATCCAGATTTTCATTTATAAATGTGCCCTCAAGTACTATATGAAGAACTTACGCGTTTAATGATATCGGTTACACAGAGAGAAGTTTTAAATTATCTGTAAACATTTTAGTTGTGACGTGTAGGGAAGTTTTAAACTGTCTGTAAACGTTCTAGTTGTGACTTGTAGGGAAGTCTTAAATTATTTGTAAACATTCTAGTTGTGGCATGTGAGGAAGTTTTAAATTATTTGTAAACATTCCAGTTGTGGCATGTGAGGAAGTTTTAAACTGTAAACATTCTAGTGTTGACGTGTAGGGAAGTTTTAAACTGTCTGTAAAAGTTCTAGTTGTGACATGTATGGAAGTTTTAAACTTCCTCACATGCCACAACATTTTAGTTGTGACATGTATGGAAGTTTTAAACTGTAAACATTCTAGTTGTGACGTGTAGAGAAGTTTTAAACTATTTGTAAAAGTTCTAGTTGTGACGTGTAGGGAAGTTTTAAACTGTCTGTACACGTTCCAGTTGTGACATATAAGGGAGTTTTAAACGTCTGTAAACATTCTAGCTGTGACGTGTATTATAAGCCAAAGTCTGCTACAATACATGGTCTGCATATGTAATTGTTGGTTTTATCACCGATTTCTCCTATATTTCATCAAATCATAGAAATAAAAAAGTCTCAGGCATACACTCACCTCGCGGTACTGTCGAATTCCAACATCCTTGAACGTGGGCTTGCACTGCAAGTTCTGTGTAAAGTAACAAGACATTTGAAATTCTATCTTTGTCCAACTACGATGGCTAATCGTTCTTACTGCTGATAAAATTATTTATATTCTATTTTTTAGTATCTCATTGATCGTAACTCTTCTTATTTTCCGCATCTTTATAACTTACAATCGTTTATACACTAAAAACTTTCAGGTTAATGACTGTCAAAACCTTTTTTACGTTTGAACTAGAAATGGAATGTTATTTCTACCACAGAATTATATATTTTTAGGATTCGTCACTTTTAAACTTCCATTAGAAAACCCAGAGATTCCGAAATTCTAAGAGAGTGCAAGCACTTTAGTCACCCTTACCTGTAGCGTGTATTAAAATATACAGGAAATAAAACTATAAGCATTTTTAATAGGTATTTGTTCTCTTTTCGTAGTCTAGGTACTAAAAGAAACAGCAAGTTTACCGAGTCATTGATCCAGGTTCTAAAAGAAACAGCAAGTTTATTAAGTCATTGATCCAGGTACTAAAAGAAACAGCAAGTTTATGGAGCCATTGATCCAGGTACTAAAAGATAAGTTTTTTAGTTTTTTTTTTAATTTCGCTCAAAGCTACACGAGGGCTATCTGCGCTAGCCATCCCTAATTTAGCAGTGTAAGACTAGAGGGAAGGCAGTTAGTCATCACAACCCACCGCCAACTCTTGGACTACTCTTTTACCAACGAATTGTGGGATTGACCGTCACATTATAACGCCCCCACGGCTGAAAGGGCGTGCATGTTTGGTGTGACGGGGAGGTACTAAAAGTAACAGCAAGTTTATGGAGTCATTGATCCAGGTACTAAAAGAAACAGCAAGTTTATGGAGTCATTGATCCAGGTACTAAAAGAAACAGCAAGTTTATGGAGTCATTGATCCAGGTACTAAAAGAAACAGTAAATTTATGGAGTCATTGATCCAGGTACTTAAAAGAAACAGTAAGTTTATTAAGTCATTGATCCAGGTACTAAAAGAAACAGTAAACTTTTAGTACCTGGATCAGTGACTCCATAAACTTGCTGTTTCTTTTAGTACCTGGATCAGTGACTCCATAAACTTGCTGCTTCTTTTAGTACCTGGATCAGTGACTCCATAAACTTACTGTTTCTTTTAGTACCTGGATCAGTGACTCCATAAAAACAGCAAGAGTATGGAGTCATTGATATTTTCTAGAACTACTTCCATTTAGTTATCTTTAACACCAAACACATCGTTTCATTTTGAAATTTTGTCTTACCTTTTCTGGTAGAACTTTAATACAACCAGTATGAGCAGTTACTTTGCAAGCAGGGCATTTCATCCTGGGTCCCTGTTTCTACCGGAAAGTAAAAAAAAAAAAAAACCAATACATTAAGCTTAATCTTCAGGAGAAACAAAGAAACTTACGAATAACTAGCCTAAACAATGTCAGTTAAAGAGAAACAGTAATATATATATATTATACAGCATGTTAATTAATAACAACAAAGATTTAGTTTTAATTTTACTTTCTAAGTGGCTTTCAATATTAAGTGGTATTACAACAGAGAGGGGTGGTACTTTTTAAGACAGTGAAGTGTTTCAACAAAACGTAAAAGTAAAGCTAAATAGTGTGTAGTGAACAACAACAATAGATGATTCTCAGTGTAGCTGTTTCGGAACATTTCTTGTTATCGATTATTCTTATATTTAAATTATTTATTTTTGCAAAATAGAAATGTGCAATTAATAATTTCATAAATATCCATACTCGGAAGCATTCTTTACGCTTTCAATACAAGTACAAAAAAAATAAAAAATAAGCAGGTGGTTTTAAAACAATTTTATTTTGCCCTGTCTTTTCTGGATCTAATTTGTTTTCAAGATCAACTTTCGAATAACGTCGATTTTTTCCGTTAACGACAATATCCACCGCTCTGGTATTGACATCTTGGGTATTTTTATCTACTTATTCGGCAAACAGACAGTTATAGATATTATAAATAGGAAAATATAAATAAAACAAATTATTCCCCAAGAAATAATTCGTAATAATTAGCGAGATTCAATAAGAATGTTTGGGATATAACTCTAAGGCTGTTTTCAGTTTTCCATCAGAAGACACTATTTTTAAACCAACCACATTTCATTCATATGCCTTATGATTTAGCTAACAGAGCTTAAATGGTGTAAAAAAATAGCATACTGATAAGACTGAAAGTACAAATTATGAAAACAGAAGAATGAAGTCCAACTTACAACAACAACTAGTTGTTTTTTTAACACGTCACAAGAGGAACTCCGTTTTTTCCGGCCCAGCAAACTGATTAGGTGAAACAACATAAAGAAATTATCCGGCAACTCCAACAACGGAAAGGATTTGAAGCTCATAACGACACTTTCTCAAGGATGAAACTTACTACGATTTGAGGTTATGATCAGTTCAATGCCTACTTTCACGGAGAGTTCTTACTACTGTAAACAACGCATACCATAATATTAGTGGTTGTAGGCTTAGTGTCAATCAGCAGAGTATTCCTACTGAGGTTTCTTAACCGTTTCGATAAGTCTAAGTAAACATCGAACTTTAATAAAAACGAGGACGATTTTTTACCATCCTCAATCCTTGTCCATCAAATTCAGCTTATTCATGTTGACTGAGCTTCTAGAAACGTTGTATATTTGTCGTCTCCAAATTTACTTATTAAAACGTTGCTCCAGATCTTCGTTTTTGAAAATTTTACACCGTAAGTACACTGCTGACTATGGGTTATGACAGAGTGTGGTTTTGAAAAGCTTACACTGTAAGTAGACAGCTAACTATGGGTTATGACAGAGTGGGGTTTTGAAAAGCTTACACTGTAAGTACTCTGCTGACTATGGGTTATGACAGAGTGGGGTTTTTTAAAAGCTTACAATGTAAGTACTCTGTTGACTATGGGTTATGACAGAGTGGGGTTTTGAAAAGCTTACACTGTAAGTACACTGCTGACTATGGGTTATGACAGTGGGAAAATGTAACATTGAACTCTAATTTTATGGCCGGAAATATAGTAAACAACAAGGCAACCAAACAGGTGATTCACTGAATTCTAATCAGTATAGGTTTTAATTCGCATGTGTATATATTTATGGCATCAAGCATTTCTAGATTTATAGGATTTGTCTTCATTAACTTATAAATCATCCTTTACATCTAACCTATTCAGAGAGTTTATTTTGGTTAGAAGTTCTTAATCAGTCTGATTCCTTAAATCCACGGAAACCAGTTATTGCACGTATTTTTGTACTAAAAACAAAAAGGTATCATCCAAACTGTACGTTAGTCGAAACCCAATCTTTTACCGATTAAAATCACATCGTTATAAATCCTTCGGACACGATTTCGAAGCGTTATTGAAATGCAATGATGTATTGATATCTATGTTTGTAGTTTAACTCAATATAAAAAAAATAATTTAACACAAAAAAGTATGACAGTAAAGGCGGTCCTCTAATTCTACATAAATTATGCACGTTACAGTCTGATTTAGAAAGTGCTAATGTGCTTACATATGTCCTAGTTACGAAATGTTTTGATAACACAAAATTTTAAACAATGTTTAACACGACGTCGTAACGTGTCGTATTTTGTCGAAACTCAAGTAATGCGATAAACATATTCTTTCTCCTCAAAAGTTTATTTACATTTACGTTTAAAAATCATACATAAAAACGTATTATAGATTTACCTTAAAATTAAGACATTATTGACTTTTTAATTCTCAGGTAGACTTAAACATTTTACACTCATAGGAACCACGAGAAATTGGGAAATTTCAGTATACAAGTCGTTTTGTGTTTCCAGGATTTGTTTGTTTTGTTGAATTTCACGCAAAGCTCTCCAGATATATTTACGCTAGCCGTCCCTAATATTGAAGTGATAGACTAAGGGGAAGACAACTAGTATCGGTAACTTTTGGACTAACGAAATGTGGGATTGATAACGTCCCCATGGCTGAAAGGGCGAGTATGTTCGATGAGAGGATTCGAACTCGTGACGAGGATATTGTGAATTCAGCACCCTAACCATCAGGCAATTCCAGGCCCAGAAACCAAGGTAAATGATGAGAGTACACAGGAACCAGGAGAAATTGACAAGTTTGACGAAATATTCAAAAAATTATACATGATCGATTTATTGTACATTTTATTGAAGAAAAGTCCTACAAATAATATATCATTGTATTCAGTGTGAAAAACCCTTATAAAAATATGCCCATACGATCCCTGGGAGTAGAATTAACAAAGGCACCATGCACACCCCTCTGATAAGGAAGGGGTTAAATGAAATGGAAAACAAACAGTAACTGTAAATATCAGAGACTAATTGTGTTCCTTCCAAGCAGATGTCCCCCTTTTTTTTTTATTCTGCTACAAAATAGTTTTCTCACAGCATCATTCTGTTTAACGAAACGACTTTTCCTCAATGAAAATGGTAAAACACTAGTTAATTCACTTCATTTACAATTACCCCAGAGAATGTACGAGCTAAAGACACAAAGATTAATAAAGCTCTTATAGCTCAAATTTATCCTTAGTTTACGTCATAGAGTCTCCAGAGACCACAAGTTTCCTCTCATTATTGGTTTCCTTCACTACGTCCACGTGATTAAAACATAGTAATTCCAGCCTTTCGGATACGTCTACTGTTTTGTTGGTACCTATGCTACTTATATTTTTACACAGATAATACATTTTCTATGTTTAGAAGATCAATGAGAAATGGATAAAACAAACTTACATAACTCAAAATCTGTTAGATGATTAAAACTACTAATGAAAACACGAAAGTCCATGATATTGATCAGAGACGTGAGATATGGAGCTTCAATATTTTAAATAATATTTCGAGCAGATGCAACGTGCAGGATTATAAAAGTGGAAATAACAGTTTTCGCCATAAAACTTTTTCTTCGATACACAAGGCTACAAGAACTGTAATAGTTTTACCATAAAACATTTTATGATTTCGTGGAGAGGGCATTAAATAAAACTCTACTGATTTTATTTCTCCGAAAGCTGTCTTAACAGCTCGCACCACTATCCAGTGGTGTGTTGTCTGTCAGTCAGTCAGTAGACACTAAAATGATATCACGTAAAAAGACGCTTGACGTTGAAATTTGTACTGTCGTGACATCAGTAAAATGTTCGCATACCATGATCACAAGAAGAATTATGCTGTATTAAGATGTGTCAGATTTCGAATATGTTTGTATTATTAGATGAGAGAACAATACCTTCTGTGTTAAGATATGTCAGATTTGGATTACGTTTGTATTATTAGATGAGAAAACAATGCCTGCTGTGTTAAGATGTGTCAGATTTGGATTATGTTTGTATTATTAAATAACAGAACAATACCAGCTGTGTTAAGATATGTCAGATTTGGATTACGTTTGTATTATTAGATGAGAAAACAATGCTTGCTGTGTTAAGATGTGTCAGATTTTGATTATGTTTGTACTATTAGTTAAGAAAATAATACCTGTGTTACGATGATCATGATTTGGGATATCTTAGTACTATTAGAAAATTCAATGCCTTCCTTCAATTCGGAAAACACAGTTTGGATGTGAATCTTAAAGAACAGCTTTGGAGAAACTACGAAAGCAATTTTAATATTCATCCAAAATTCTAAGGTCTTAGCTGAATTGGACTCGCCAATCTTACGAAATAAAAATAAATAACCAGATATCTCGTATGTTTTTGGATATTCGAACACAGCTACTCAAGGACTATTTTAACTGCAAACATTCTAGTTGTGACGTGTAGTGACGTCATGAACTCGCTGTAAACATTCTATTTGTGACGTGTAAAGAGGTTTTAAACCGTCTGTAAACATTCTAGCTGTGACGTGTAGGGACGTTTTAAACTGTTTGTAAACATTCTAGTTGTGACGTGTAGGGAAGTTTTAAACCGTTTGTAAACATTCTAGTTGTGACATGTAGAGACGTTTTAAACTGTCTGTAAACATTCTAGTTGTGACGTGTAGAGAAGTTTTAAACCATCTGTAAACATCCTAGCTGTGAAGCATAGGGGAACTGTCTATGTAATTACAGACAAGAAAGAAGGCAGCTTGTAAATAACACCTTCAAACAACTCTTTGAATACTTTTGTATGATCGATTGGTGGAATTCGAAGGTTACCCTTATAACGCACCCACAGCCCAAAAGCAGGAAGCGTGATTTATTCACCTTTGGACGCGAACCCCAGGTACACAGTCCGGCACGCAAACCACTGGGTCGCACTCGATCTGGCCAAATATCTATCTTATAACTGTGATCTTTGAGGGAGAGAAGTAAGCGTAGGCCCAAC